TTCAAGAGCAGTGGCGAAAAATAGACAAGATAACATTAAAAAAGCTGATTGATCGGATGCCTCGAGTGTGTGCTGCAGTTATAAAAGCGCGGGGAGGATATTTTGAAGAAAGCAAAATATGATCTAAAATATTTTTTCATTATTACATTTTTGTTTTCAAATTTTTTCTGAGAAAAATACGAAAAAATAAATTTCAAAATATTAAATTGTAAACGTTGATTCTTATTTCATTATTATATTTTCCAAAAAAAAAAGTTAAAATTGTTATAATAAATTATGAAATAATATTATCGAGAAATATTAAATTTTAATTTATTTTAATTAAAAAATTTTCATATCATATTATAATTACACTAAAATTCATTATAATTGCTGAAAAATCATTAAATTCTGGAGAAAAAAAAACTTTTTTTTTATTTGACAATTACTTCGTCAAAAAACATGTTTTTTTGGAATTTTTTTTTTTAAATGAAAGATAAAAGTCCAAATTTTTCAATGGTATAATAAAAATTAACAATATCTAACCCCTTGTGCCCGTACATCGCGTCAAACTTCACAAAAAATTAATACAATTTTCTATTGTTTAGAGTGTAATTGTACATAGTTGCAAAATATATTAATTAAAAACAATTAGAGAACATAAAAGTAGAGATTTTAAGCTTCAAAATGAGCTAAAGCAGAAGCATTTTAGATCATTTTTAAATAAGTTATGACACTTTGAATTTTGCCTCTTGAATTTTGTTTCTAGGTGTACTGATACTTTTGAGCAGTACTGTACATTTCAAAATCTAGTCTTGTTTTCTCAACTTCATTTTTTGTCTCAAACTTAAAGCCTAGCTTAAGCCTATGACTTTATTTATTTTACTTTATTTATTTATTAATTTGCCAGTATATTTTACATATAAAATATTATGTGACTTTCGAATGGAGGGGGCGATAAAAAGGTATTGTGCCCCGGGCACGAGTTAAGCTCGCTACGCCACTGATCAGATATATACATCTCATAAAATATATTGCAGTTTGAAATCAAAATGTATGCCACTAAGAGCACAAGAATATAATTTTTCAAGAAAGAATTTTCTAAAATACTTAAAGTTTCAAAATGGTTTTACAATTCTCAAAAAAGTACTAAAATGTCATACAAGTTTGCTTTAGCCCCAGTATATCTCTGGCTTTAGGAAAAGTGTAGCTGATTTAAATTTTAAAGAAATAATATGGTGTCACTCATTTTTAATGACATTGTTAATATTAATTTTTATTTCATAATTTTTATTCATTTTACATAAAATTTACTAATATTTTTTTTAACTAATAGAATGTTTCTTGTTTTCTGGAGTGTTATAAGCCAATTATTTAATCAATTTATTTATTATTTAGAAAGGCCACTTTATTGTTTTAAGGTGCATAAATGAAGATGATGTAGACACCTGGTTTGATGCCTTTAGCAGTCAATGTACTGAAGACTTTATGAATACCTACACAAGTCCTTGTCCTCATCCTATATCTATTAATAAGGTAAAATTTGCACATTTTTAATGTTATGCTAGAAGAATTTTGCATTTGTCTATAATTTTAAGAGGGTCACATTAGCTGCAACATATTTGCTAATCAGTATTNTTTAAATAACTTTGTTTATTCTTCTTCTTCTTTTTTTTATTCTTTTTTTTTTTTTGCTAATAGTTACTTGCTTCAGAAGTCGTTGAAAATAATATTCAGGATGTTCAGTAATCTCTGCCCCTTAATATATATTTTTAGGATCCTTATCAAACAAAAGAAGAAAAAAAGAAATATGCACATTACGCATGCCAATATATTTAAGCAAGAAAAAACAAATATATTTTTAATATCTAACAAATCCCTACTGAGGATAGTGAAATTAAGAAGATCAACACATGTTGGATTGCCAAAAGAAACTAAGAAGTGGTTTAGCAATATCAATCTGATTGGGCAATGAAGCTAGTTTTGATACTTTTAATCTTAAATAAAGCTTTTCAAAAATGTTATAGATTTTGCTACAACCTTTGGCAATATAAACAGAGAATGTTTATGGAAAACTTTGAAAATCTATGGATTCCCTGAAAAACTAATATCAACTATTAAAAATATATGCAAAGAAAGCAAGGGCAAGAACAATAAGAAATAATAATATTAGGTATGTGTAAAGGAATTATACAATAGACAGTTTTGCATTAGAATTTCTGTTAGGCAGGGACCTTTGTTATCAGAAAATCTGTGCAATATTTTGTATTTTTTTAGTTTAGAGACATTTTATTTTTAGTGGCAATTCTAAGTATTTTTGTTTATTAAATATGGTGTATTGGTAGTTTTGTAAATGTAATTGTTGAAAATAGCATACAACTTATTCCATTTTAATATTTTGATGGGGGGAAAAAATGGAAAATTTCTTTATTTTTATCATACAAAATTTTTTGATGAATTCAGATTAAAGTTAATTGTAAATGTATTTTTCCTTTTTCCCTTTTCATTGAAATCTCTCTTACAACGTTTTAGTTATACTTAAAAGAATGTAATGACCTTCTAAAACTTATTGCAACCAGTAAAGTGTTACTTTTTTGGTAAATGTTTGGTAAAGTTAATACATGTTTTGTAATGTAATTATGATAATTCAAGTCAAATGCTTTCAAACTTTTTATACTCATATAACTGATGTAAACATATTATAAAACTCATAAAATATGTTTCAGATAGAAACTTACTATTTAATTATTGATTTTAGAAAGTCGTCGTTATTGATCTTGGAAGCAGTTCTATTCGTGCTGGTATTCTTAAGTCTAGTCGTAAGTTTTCTTTTCTAAAACTTCAAAAATATCCAATTTTGTTTCCAAATAAAATATTAGTATTAGTCAGAAATATGTTTTTGGTCTTCTTTAAGTGTTTTTGAAATTATTGAAATAGTTTCATAAAAGGTTTAAGTGATTTTTTGAAATAAAATTTTACGAATGTAATGAAAATAAATGTGTTGAAATTTAGTATACATACTTATCTATTTATTTATTATAAAGAGAAAATTTATGAAAATGATGGTGAACTGAAAATTTAACTTTATCTAAAAATTAAATTTTAGTTTGAACTCAATTATATGTTAATTTTCTGCACAATATTTATTAAACTTTATCCCTTCTCTAATTTTATTGATTGAGATCTGTATTCTGAGCAGGTAGTAAAAAATGTTAGTAATAAGTAGCTTTAGGACATTCAAACACTCATGAAACATTTACTATAATTTTAGACGTGAATGATCATACTCATGTAGAACCTTCCGTGATGCATAGAAAAAAATGCAGCAATAACTACCTGTAAAGCACCAGACACTAGCAAGTTGTTGCATTTGGAATCAATCATTTGTCAAAGTCTAAATAAATGTTTAATTTATATGAACACCTCCATGACTTGATTTCTGTTCTCAAATTTTTTAATCCTGTTGTGTTAAGTACAAGGATCAAAATAATTAGAAGAAGAAAGGAATTTTCAGGAGAGAAAAGGAATTGAAGACATTTAATGTCTCATTTCAACTTGTGGGGTCTCATAATTTGTGTCATCCAGATGAAAAATCAAAAGTTTCCTCCGTCTGAAATACTTCACAAGAGCAGTATCATTTTCTCTCCTTTCCTTGCAAAGATAATGGTAAAAGGAGAATGATTGACTCTTTAGTAATGAAATAGCTAAACAATATTTTTAGTTATGGATATAGCAAAATATTTTCATGCTTTAAAAAAAATGGTGGTAAGATACATACATTTTTTTTTCTATTTTGGGATTAAAAAATAATTTTCTTTATATTTAGAAAACGTTGTGTCTGGTTCGAAGAGATTAAAAATAACATTTGGGGGGCATAAATGACTATCCACGTCCGATTACAAGAATGTCCGCTTTGGGGAGAGGATACATAATGGTTTGTTCATAGAGGATTCACAGGCAATTAAAAAATGTCTGTAATGAGATACGTTTATTTTGTAATAGTGTACGTAATGTGTGGTTTCACTGTTCTATAAAAGTTCCAGTGCTACTGAAATGACGAGAAAGACTTTAATTACTTAACATTTTGAATGACTTTATTGTTTATCAACAACATTCTCACCTCTATGATAGTAAAACTATTAAAATAATATTTTAACTTTACTTAAACCAAGGATTTTATGAATAATTGTTATTTTATATTTAGATTTTTAAGAAATGGATTCATGTTTAAAATGTTGAATGACATAAAAGTAAGAATTAATTATTTAATTAAAATTTCAACAATATTCTTTTTATTGCAGCTTCCCTTCCACAGCTGTTTTTCCCTACTGTTTGTGCAATCAACAAAAAAAGGTATGAATACCTATCCTACAAGGTTTATTTTTATAATAAATATTTAAGCAAGAGAATGCTGAAATAAAATTATAAAAGGAAGTAAATTTTAAAAGTTCTATTTTGCATGTACATATTAATGCTATAAAGAAATATTTTAATTCCATTTCATTTAATACTTAATAACAATAATTATTTTTAATCAGATTTAGTGTTTAAGTTTGATGATAGAATATATAACAGTAAAGGTGACATTCATGGTGCTTTGGGATAACAAGATAACTAACATTTTCAACTTTATCAGAAAATGAAGAATGAAAATTAAAAATCATAATTTGGGAAAAGATATTTGATAATTATTATTTAACTATCTTATTTAGGTTTGATAAATTTACTTATTAGATACTAATATTCTGAAACTAATCTGAATCAAAATTTAGTTTACTTAAATCAATTTTTGTTTTAAGTAGTTTATAATTTTCTTTTTCTCTGTTTGTCAAAAAAAAATTCAGTTAGTTCATTTTTTTAAATAGTTCCACTTAAATGGTTTTGCTTTTTATTAGTCCAACAGTGGACTGCTTGTAAGTCACGGTTCCCAGTAAATCACCAAAGTCAAGCACCATTGGCTGTGATCAGTGAGTAACCACATTGCTCACCCTGCAAAGGGTATGAGAATGCATGGTATCTGTCCTCATTAAACTGTTCCAACGTAAAGTATTCGGCATAATGCATAGTTTGTCAGTCTACCTAGGCAAGGGGAGCCATTCCCTTTGCAGAGGATCAAAATTGTCTTGGCATGTCTTTGGAATATCCTCATGGATGTTTCCCAAATCGTCACCAATAGCCCATTTAGCATCTCTAGTGCGATGTCAATACTGATTTTTATTTTAACTACTAATACTGGTTTTTATTTTAATTCAATTTTTGAATAATTTTACAGTGGTGGCTGTATAAATTAATAATTATAGATAGAGGGATTTAGTTAATCACTTAGTTTATTATTTAAAATTTAGTTCACTGGAGAAGTTGAAAAGAATTTAATTAGTGATTTTGTGTTTCAGTTAATTTGTTAGTTACTTACATAGCTTGTTGATTAATGCTTTTAGTAATTTATTTAATCAGAGGTTTTGTTAAATTAGTTAGATTTAGTTATTTACAAGCAATTTAGTGATCTAGTCAGTTATAGATTTAGTGATCTAAAGTTCTAGTTATTATTTTGTTAGTCTGTGATCTACTATCTAATAAGTTAGTAATAAATTTAGTTAGTGTTTTAGCTATTGATAGTATTGAGTGATTCAATTAGCGACTAAGTGTTTCCTTTATGTATTAGTATTTTGTTGATTCAATAAGTGTGAATTATTAAGATAGTCATTCTGCGAGGCTATTATTTAGAGATTCAATCGGTAACTTAGTGATTTAGATTATATATTAATCATCCCCTTTTAGGCAGTAATTTATTGATTTAGTTAATGCTTTAGTGATTCAATTAATGTTTAGTGATACATTTATTGATTTAGTGCTTTTAATGAGTTAATCAAAAAGTATTTGCTAATTAACTACTGCAGTAATTAAATAAATTGTTGAGACTACAATTGTTATTTGTGTTCTGTCAAAATAATGATACACAGAACAAAAATTTCAAACATTGAAAACCAGTTGAACAAATTTTAGATGATAATAAATTAATTTTTAGATTCAGCAATGTTTATACATTTCACATGGTGCAAAATAGATAGTCTTCATTTTTGAGGAGATCAGATCACTTCTCAAAAAATTTTGATTTCTGAACATTTCCATTTAGTTCCTTGATCTGTATATAAAACTACATAATTTTTGAAAATTAATTCCTAATTTTATTTTTAAAAAAATCTCTTAAAACAAAATTCTTTGTTTCATAAATTTTATTTGAAATAAACGCTTCTTACTCAAGATTTCAAATGTAGCATCTGTGTCAACTCCAAAGAGAAACAAGGAAATTTTTCTACATTATTTTTGAAAGAAAGAAGTTATACATTTTAACACCACAAAATTATTTTTTATATTTTGAAAGAATTTTAGTTCAAGAACAAATAACAGGTCGTCAACTATTTTAGAACTTATTGGTTCATAGAAAAAGGAAAGAAATCAGGATTGCTACTCTAATATATTTTCTTTATTTACAGTCAGAAAAAAATATTTGGTTGTGGAGCTTTAAACCCAGATATCCGAAAAGACAGTTATTTAAAATTTCTTCTTCATCCATCAGCTAAAGTTGCAAAGGTAAAGCTTAAAATACATTTAATTACGGTTTTTCTTCCTTTTATTACTGTTTGTTTCTATGTAAGCAGAGTTTTACGTAAGTTTTATGTGAGCAGTTTGTTTTTTATGTTAAACAGAAATATATATGAAATATGGACAGAAAGCCTCAATGCATGATATAAACCTCAAAACGTAATCTAGTTAATTGTATGTCATTAACTTTTGATATATTAATTATTCTCAAACATAAACTCTACACTCATGTCCAAGAGTGAAGGAACAAAAACAATTTTGCAAAACACTAAAAAAATTCTATACTGAATTAAGTAAAGAGACAGAGATCTTCAAACTATGTAAGATAGTTCAGAAGAGCTGCTAGTTCTTTTTATAGTTAATAACGCTTGCCCACAAAGGTCTATGCTGATTGAGAAAGACCTTGAAGCTGGAAATATTTAGAGAATGGTCAAATCTTCAGTTCTGAATCTCGAAAAAAAACTGCAGATTGCGAATTGCGAAGAAATTTCAGATTTTTCCCTATACTGAACCACATATTTTTTCTGATATGTCTTTCTTTGTTTTTTACAAAACTCGACAGTATCTTTTTTCTTTAAAGAACTTAAAAGACTTTACCCAATAATTAAGCATGAGTCATGAGATCACAAGAAATGAAGCAACATACCTAGGTGAAGGCTGAAACTGGACTAAATATTTTATTATAGTAAAGAGGTTATATTAAAGACAACACTGCTGCCATCGATGTACAACAATATAAACTAACTCTTTCAACACTCCCACTTTAGTTTACATTTTTGGGAATACTAAAAGAAAATCACAAATGTGCAGAAAAAATAAAAAATAAATCATATCAGTCCCATTAATTTTTCACAATGTTCATGCCTAGTTCTATTAACAGTTTTTGTTAAATAGTCCACATTTATATTTATCATATTCACTCCCACTGTCCGAAGCAGTCCTTCTCCTTTTTGGTGCGTTTTCTTCTTCACTTTGACTATTGTCAGATGTAATTCTCCTCTTGTTAATTCACTATCTGAAACAATTTTTCTGTTCTTGCTTGGCCTGTCTTCATCACTCTGTATGCCATCACTTGCTCCTTTTCTTCTTTTAGATTTTTCATTACCACTGTCAGAATTTTCACTTCCACTATCAGAAGCAACTTTCCTCTTTTTAGGCCCACTGTCTTCATCACTTTGAATAATATCGCCAGCACTTGCTTTCCTTTTTCGTTTAGACTTTTCTTTTCCACTGTCAGACTCCTCACTTGATGAAATAGTTGCTTTAGAAACGATTATACTCCCTTGTTTGGATTCTCTATCTTTCTTACGCATTCGTCTTTTACCACCTTCTCCTTCATCATCAAGTTTCACGATCATCTTGTGGCACACGTCTTCTCTGTCAGAGCCTGAAGCCTTTGCTTCTTCATCTGATTGTTCCTTATTAGAATATTCATCATCTGATTGTGCCTTATTAGAACCACCTTCATTGTCAGATTGGGTTTGTTTAGGTTAATGGACCCTTCTGATCTATTACATTCTATTTCAATCCCTAAACAATAATTTAAATCTTTCATTTCAAATCTTTTACTTAGTTGCTTTTTTGCTAAATTTTTAAGCCTTACTGAGCTGCTAAAAATTAATAAATAATCTGCATAAATAGCTACAATTACAAGTTCTTTATCACTTAGTTTAATATACACACAACTATCAAAATAACTTTGCCTAAATCCCATTTCAACTAAGCCTTCTTCTAATGTCAGATACCAAGGCCTGACACTTTGCTTTAAGCCATCTAGAGCTTTATTAAGAACTTTCCCATCTAAATTTTGTTCATAATACTCACTAAACCCATCTGGAATTTTCATGTATATTTCTTCATTTAGTGTCCCTTGAACAAAAGCCGTAACAGCATCCATTTGATCGATTTCCCGATCATAAATAGCTGCATAAGCCAACAAACTTAATGTTACATAATGAACTACTGAGGAGAACGTTTCTGTATAATCTATTCCTTTGATCCGGGAGAAACGCTTAGCTACTAAACGGGTTTTGTACCTTTCAATATCTCCATTCACATTATGTTTCAATTTGAATACCCATTTGCAATCAACAATGTTTTTATTTTTAGGCTTATTTACTATGTCCCAAGTTTTGTTTTTAATGTGACCCGCTATTGTTTCACATAAAGATCCTCTTCAATGCCTAGCAGTAATACCATTGAGTGTCTCATCAATAGTATTAGGTTCAGAAAGAAGTTCATTTATTGCCAGTAAAGCATCGGCAAAGCAAATAGGATCTAAGTTTAGCATTTGCAAATCTGGCATACTATTGGTATCAAAATTTTGATAACGAACAGGAAGTTTAACTGTTCTTCCTATAGGTGTCAGTTTCGGCATGTCATTGTCTACGGTTATATTATTACTGTCATCATTATTTACAAAATTGCCTCTATTTAAGCCATTAATGTCATCCCGACCTGAGTTAATATCATTTCGGAAATTTAATTCATTATCACCCCTGCTAACATTATCATCATTTTGGAATTTATCTGATGTGTCGTCAAAATCAACAATGCTCTCACAGAATAAAGAGTCATCACTGAACTCTGGTGAACTTTTGTCACTGTTATTGTCATGATACATATCATGTTCCAAAAAATGTACATCTCGGGCTACAACAATTTTACAATTAGTTGGATCAATTAGACGATAGCCCTTCCTATCCTTACAATACCCAACAAACATTAACTCTCTAGCTTTCATATCCCATTTTAAACGCTTCTGTTTGGGAATATGAGCAAAAGCCCGACACCCAAACACCCTTAAGTATTTCAAGTTTGGCTTTTCACCACTCCATTTCTCAAAAGGTGTCATGTCTGGAACCGCAATGGTTGGAGATATATTTTTACAATGAGCTGCTGTTTCAACTGCTTCAGCCCAACATTCCTGGCCAAGGTGGGCATCCACCAACATAGACCGAGCTCGCTCAACGAGTGTTCTGTTGTTACGTTCTGCAACCCCCATTTGCTCCGGTGTATAAGGGATAGACTTTTGATGCTGAATCCCTGTGGAAGCAAGAAAACTATCCATCTCATTATTAACATACTCCGTCCCATTATCAGAGCGTAAAACCTTAATAGGTGTGCCAGTTTGTCTTTCTACATATGACTGAAAGTCTTTGAATTTATAAAGTAAACAAAAGTCATTCGTGATAAATCATCTATGAAACTTATAAAGTACCGAGAACCACCTATTGATAAAACACTCATGGGTCATGGGTCCACAGAGGTCACTATGCACTAAGCCTAACAAGACTTTTGCTCGTTTAGCCTTACCCTTAGGAAATGGTTGTTTATGCATTTTACCTTTAATGCATGGTATACAATCATTAATTTTCCCATTAAAAGAGAAACCCTCAACCATATCTTGCAATCTAACCATCCCTCCTTCACTTAAATGACCTATTTTCTTATGCAATATTTCATTTGATGAGTTTTGAGCAGTAATTAAAGTCATATCATTATGAATATCTAAAGAATATAATCTATCGCTTACACCTGTTCCGTTAGCTACTAAATTATCACCCTTATGAACAAAACATCTTTCCCCTGTAAAGGTAGTAACCATCCCAAAAGTTTTGTTTAAATACTTAATAGATAACAAGTTAGCAGTTAGTTTTGGAACATGCAATACATTATTAAAACTTACTTTTGCTTTCTCCCCATTTCTAGATAAAAGAAAACTAACACTCCCTTCCCCCTCAACTTCTATAACAGAGCTGCCTGTTTTAATTTGACTAATACTTGCAGTTTGATAATCTGTTATCAATTCTTTATATGGGGTCATATGGAACGAAGCACAAGAATCCATGTACCAAACATTAGGATTTGGATTAGAATTTGCAACATAGATACCTGCTACATAAGCTTCTTCCTTCATTGGAGTCTTACTAGAAGTAGGCTTTACATTACCCTTTTTGTTAAATTTATCATGCACATTTTTCTGGCGTGGGAGTCTTTGAGAATCTATACATTTATGCCCAAACAAATTACATTTGAAGCATTTCCCCTTAAACTTATTCCTGCCTTTAAACTTCTCATTAAGGAAAGCTTGATCCAAATTCCCATCAGAATTAGGTTTATCATCCTCGGCCATTAATCTAGTTTTAACGTTATCAACAGTTATCTCTTCCCCACAATTTTTCAAAGCCATAATAAGGGGTTCAAATCTATCAGGTAAGTTAGCTAAAATTATTCCAGCTATTAATTCCTCATCTGCTTTAACTCCTGTTCATTTTAATTGCTGATATGCTGAAATTACTTTATGAAGGTAGTCACACATGTCTTTACAATCTGTGTACTTAGTAAACTGCTGTTTGTAGAAAATGCAACACCATGAAAGAATCATCAGAATCAAATGAAATTTAATGCAGAAACGNAATGCGATAAGATAAGTCCCTCAAATCATTAAAAATTGTTTCAGTAACCCCTTCAACTATGTATGACAAAGCTTTGGTATCTAAAGCTGCATCTTCCCTTTTTCCTTCAACATAATCCCATAAATCTCTTTTAATTAAGTGCATTCTCAAGGCAAACTTCCAATCAGCATTATTTGCCCTCCCAGTTAATTTTTTATGGCTGAAAGAACCTTCTCCCCCTGGCATGATTATTTCTCTTTGTTAACTTTAAATTAAACTATCAGAAATATAACTATAAAATAACAAATTTTCTATTAAAACATAGTTAAATTAAATTAGTTACAAGGTTTAAAAAGAAAAAACAACAACATTTATTTAAGTGTTAAGCATTTAAGCCTAACCATGTGTTAACACATGCTACCATAATTTATCTATCTTTAATTCTAAAATTTATCAAAAAATTTAAAAATAAATACAGTTGAGAACCGATTATCCGGAACGATCGGGACTATCGCTATTCTGGATAACTGATTTTTCCGGTTTTCTGAATCGCTACAAAAAGCCGTTTTTTTAGTGTTAAACCCAAGTAAAAAAAATAAATATTTGGAAATAATCTTAAAAATAAGAAAAAACGATGAGGTAATACACTAATGATTATTTCTGAAATGATGGTAAGGTAAACATCTTTAAAAAAAGAAAGTAAAATCCTATGAGGAAAAAAAAAATTTTAGAAATTGCTGGAAAATTTATCGAATTTCGTTCCGGTTTTTTGGTTTTCCGGTTTTCTGATTTCCGGATAACGGGTTCTGTACTGTATATTAAACTTAATAAATGTTAGCTATAAATTTCTTGGACCATCCTGGGCCCATAACCAAAAGACTTAACCCAATAATTAAGCATGAGATCACAAGAAATGAAGCAACATACCTAGGTGAAGGCTGAAACTGGACTAAATATTTTATTATAGTAAAGAGGTTATACTAAAGACAACACTGCTGCCATCTATGTCAGCATTTGTGATGCCATCTATGTATAACAATGTAAACTAACTCTTTCAACAGAACTTATTTTCAAGATCCTTTCTCTCCATTAGACAACAACGAAAACAATCCAGGTCCAGGCTGCAACAAAACAACTGTGATAAACTTGCTGGTTCGACTGTAATGCGTTGAGAATTGTGATGTATCCCATGAAAAAATGAAAGGCCATCTGATGTTAAACGAAACAAATAGTAATTGTTTTGAGAACACAATAAAATACTCGTAAATCTCAGTTTCAAGAGCTTAGCGAAAAAAACATTGATAAAATAATTTCAATACAATATTTAATTCAGTTATAATAGTCTAGGAAACAATTCAAGCACCACAAGCATTGCTAGTTTTGCACAATTCATCATCTCCAGCAAATTATTTACATGGTCAGGAATTTAGCTGAGTTCTGTTCTGATATTCTGCTCTAGGCTGGCAAAGCAAGGGCATGAGAGAAGCAAGAGAAGGTTGGAGTTTTCTTTTTTTTTAAATAATTTACATAACTTTAATGTGATAAAAATTCTATTTCAATAAACAGCAGTTGATTTACTTGCTAATTTTAAGAAATGCAAATTACTCAAAATTAAAAAGCACTCATGTTACCGGCAACGACCCTGCTATCTAGTACCATGCCACACAGTTACCACAAGAGGTAAATAATGACAACCCATTAATGTAAATAAAGCATAACATCAGTGGATTGACAAATTTGATTTTGTTGGGATGATGAAGCAGGCTTAAAGAAATAACCCTTTTAATGGATAGCAGATTTTATCAAATGAGTTAAAATTAAATCAAAAAAGGGTAGTTGCCATTCCATGCTGATATATTTTAAAACTGCAAGAAAGAATAAGATCGAGAAATTAAATAAATTAAAACAAGAAAAACAAGATAAATTAAAACAAGAAAAGTTTAGGAACTTCAAAAATACCGTAAGCTTTAAATGCTGCACTGGTGAGGTGACAGAAAACTAATTTTAAATTACTTGTTCTTCAATCACATTGCAAATAATTTGCCTCTTTTTAAAAGGGTTTTAAAATTTTCTATGCCAAAATAATTTAAAAACTTTGGCACTTAATGCACAGTTCTTTGGCTTAAGCAAACTGACTATTTTATTTTTTATCATTATTATTGAACATCAGATATATTTGTTATTTTAAACATGGCCCAAAAGATGTAGAACAAATACTGGGACAAGTACTATTGAGTTAAGTACAGAAAGAAAACTTATGCATGACTATGATACAAAACTTACACAAAAACTTATACATGAGAAAACTGATATTATATATTACTATTAGCATTGTGATTAATGTAGGAAGAGAGCAGTCACCAACAAAACTCATACATGATTAACATATGGTTAGCACTTCACAATGGCTGGATGCAGTATAGAAAAATAACAACAAATATCTAAAAATATATAGCCTTAAACACAAAATAATAATGAATAAATATCAAAAGGTATGAAAATATAATAACATAAAAAGTCATTTAATAATTAAACTCAGAAACTAGGGTGTAAACACAAGTATCCAAATAAAAACTGTTTCAGAAAAAAAGATTATATAATAGACTCAAAAACTCAGGCTAACTTTAAATATAAATATTAGCATCCACAAGAAAAAATGCAGAAATTTGTGGTAATGATTAATCTTTAAAAAATCATCTTTTTAGATCTTTTTGAATTTTTCTTTTTTATGTAGTACAGTATAGCCATTTTAAGAGGAGACTCCCAACTCACCCAAGATATCATCCTGCTTTTAAACGAAATAACCGCGGCCCAAAGAACTTGTATCCTTCAATGGATACCAGCACACGTCAATATCGCTGGTAACGAGAAAGCTGATATCCTGGCCAAGGAGGTCCGAGATAACTCCCAATTTTTCAACAGCCTGACCCTAACTGATGCAAATGCGATAGCCAGCCGCAGACTACTTTCTACTACCTCTCTGAAGCACTCCATCCCTGCCCTAAACTGCGATCTAGCCATTTCCACAACCATAGATAGATTGAGGATTAAACACTTTAAGGGAATGAAAATATCTACTGATGGCCATCGAAGCTACAGAAGCATCGACATCGAACTCTCCATGTCTTTGATTGCCCAGCCATACTGGCGAAGCTCACCAGGATCAATCTAGATCCCCCGCAGCAACTCCTCTATTCCATAGAGACTTTTGATGTGGCCAAGGCTATTTTAGATACTTTTGGACAAATTTAATTTTCCTTTCACTACTGGACAAGACAACAACATAGTAATTTACAAGAGCTGTCATACATTATTTTTTTTAAAATGCAACATAGAAAAATAAAATACCACAAGGAATGTCAGTTTAGTTATATCAGTTCAAAGTACATGAGGTAGAATTACTTAGTACATAAAGGGTATATAAAAAAAGATTTCTCCTTTGTCATGAAAAAGATTTATTGCAAAATAGCAACAAAAAAAATCAATAGAAAGAATAAAAAGGTTGCAGTCTGGCACAATATTAAAACTTACAATCAGTTTCTGGCAAAGTAGAGTCATGAAATTCTTAAACTGAAAAAAACAGGTATATTTTTTTCATTTATTTTAGCCATTTTTCGTGACTTATTACTGTTTTATAGTAAAGCCATAATTTAACATTTTTTATAATCAACATGTTTTCAAACTAATGTGCATATTTTTAAACACATTTAAATAACAATAAATATTCACTGTAAAACCAATCTGTTCTTACCTAGCTTTAGATAAAATTATCAACTCTCAGGTTGATTTCAGAGAAATTATAGACAATGAAAATTTTCTATTTTGACACAGAAATTATCATTTTAAAAAAAAATTTATCAAAAAATGGGCTTTAAATATAATGTAAATAAAAATGTTAAAGGCATTTAAAAAAATACTACTAAGATGAGAAACATAAGAAAAGAATGAATAAAACTACAAAAAAGTAGAAAATTAAAAGTTTTGACCTAAACGAGTAGTAAACTTCCCTTTGTAAAATCAAATCATTTCATCAAATCATAATGTACAATTAGTTTAATTTTATGTTTAGATAATTATTAAAGCAGAAAGTAAAGTATATTATTATATAATATGTTTTGATCTATTTTGAAACATCGGTGAAATTTTCTTCCTTTTGTAAGCATTATTGATTTTTATTTTTCTTCTTTTAATCGTCAGTATAGCATTGATACTTCCTTGTTACTGGATCTATTGAAGTATATATTTCAAGAACTAAACATTTATCCTGAAGATTATAAGGTAAGATCTGAAAAATAAATTTTAAGTATGTTATTAATATTACTAAGGTGCAATAAAAAATATTCAGAAATTTTAAATATTTTAAGCTAAATACAAAGTAAAATATTTAGAATCCAAACACTAATAAGTTTTAACCCCTTATGGGAAGTGAAATAATGTAACATTTGTTTTCATAACTTATTATAGTAAAACAAAATTACAAAAATTATGCAACTCTATTTATTTTTGAACATACATTTATAATCAAAATCATAATACAAGGATAAAACAACTAATATATTGCATCCCAAAATAATGGAGAAAGCATACAAAATATAAAAAAGGAGTTTTATGTTTGGTTTTATACTTTAATTCTTATAATACTTACGTATAACATAAAATATCATAGAAAAATTTGTATATTTATTTAACTTTAAGTAGGTAGGTAATTTATTTATGTCGTACTAGAGCTGCACAATGCGCTATTGGCCACAGTTTGGGAAGAATCCCTGAGGAGGATCTAAAGACATTCCATCGCAGATTTGATCCTCTGAAAAAGGCATGGCTCCCATGCTTAGGTATCCCAGCAACCTGAATGCAAATTTTAGCAATTTACGATTGAGCAGAAGGAGGACTGATACTTTGCATCCTCGGTCCCTAAGCAGACTGATCAAAGTGGTTACCCACCTGCTTACTCACCACAGCCAGTGATGCTTGACTTTGGTGTTCTACTGGGAGCCGTGTCTTTATGATCAGTCCACTGCAGGACTTATTTAGTTTTAGAAAAATGAAAAATATAAATACCTAATAACTTTCTAACTGCCCCAAAACGACAGAATGTCATATATTTTCATTAAAAATTGTTCAACTGGTAAGTCATTAAATGTCACAAAACTACTATTTTAATAAAAAGAAATTAAAATATTATTCAGCAATTTTAAGATGAGAATATTAGTTTTTAATGAACTTTCATCATGTAGTAAAAATATGTATTTAACATTAAAATTGCAAAAGGCTTGTTTAAACAGAAAAAGAATAGAGTACATAACCAGAAACAGAATTATATTTGCAGGAGAGAGTCTAAAGTGTCCTGGAAATGCAGCATATTTAAAATAATTAAATGCTTAGTAAGTAAATAAAAAAATTTTAATGTTGTTGACATATGCTATTTATTGTTGTTGTTGACGTATGCCATTTAGGCAAAGAGGGTGGGATTGTTCTTGTTTTCCAGTGGCGCCATCTATGGCCGAGAATTAGACTTTCGCCGCACCTATATGTCACACCAGTTTAAAGGGCAGATCCATTCATTCATCCACAAATCGTAATTTTGACCTGAATCAGAGAACGATCAATCTCCAATTCAGTACCCCCAGAGCATACCTGCCAACTTTTACGCATTTGGCGTAAAATTTTATTTTCATATTTAAAGTGGTAGTAAATATATACTATTTTTTCTTTTATAAACTTATATTTTAAATGATTTTGATCACCACTATTCTTAAAAAAATTAAGTAAATATATATATAAAAATGTGTTACCATCAAGGTTGAAGACTAAGGCTTCTTCAAATACGACGTATTTTTCTGCTTAAAATTTAAATTTTAATTCCATTGTAATACCACTGGGGAAAATCATAATGAAAGAAATTAAAAGTTGGCAGGTATGCCAGAGGTATTGATTTGTTATGGGAACATGGAGGACTTTGAGACTCGACAGATTTAGCGTGCATTAGTCACCATTTACTACATGGGGAGTCTTCGGCCGCAGGGATCAAACCCACGACCTCTTGGACAGGGGCCCAGTGCCCTACCCACCAGGCTATCCCGACCAATTATTAACATTAATATATCAGTTTTATTTAAAAAATATTTATTATGTATTAACATTAATAAAAATAAATGTCTTTTAACTAAAACTGATTGATAAATTTTATAAACGACATTAAAAAATTATCTTTAAATTAACATGAAATTGCTCCTAAACAAAGAAAATCCTGAGATGAAATGGGTTACTTTTAAAAAATTTATTTACACAAATTACTTATATGACTTTGCTTGTAAGCAGACCTTCTGAGGAGAGAAATTTTCAATGGTTTTTGTTTCTTTAATTGGCTTTTGCTAAACTCTCTTTTTAAACTAGAGAGTTTTTTTTAATGTTTAATTGTTGTCAAGTTAAAACAAAATTATAATAATCCTTAAATAAAAAGAATAAATTATCCAATGATTTTCAAGTAAAAATTTTGTATATTTTAATAGCAGACATTTTTTGAACTTTTTCACTTGTGGAACATCATAACATGCAGGGTATTTTAATTTTATAATGACCTCTCTTTATATGTATTTTTGAAATCCTTGTTCAAAATGAAGTGAAAAATTGGTTCCTTGGAGGATGCATGTTAATAAGACACTAAGATGTTATCATAATCTGACAAATTCTTATTCATGAAAGATGAAAGTCGGATTAAAACATCAAAACCTGCTTGATTGTCATATAAATGGCATGAAAGATAAAGTTGGTTCAAACAATTCCCATTTATATTTTCTCAGTTTTCTTCAGCAAACAAACAGTTTTTAATTTCTTTAATCTCACCTTTCTAGTTACATAAATTCACTAATATTTTTTCTTGCTTAAACATTAATTTTTCAACCCTCTAAGTATCAATTCTTTTATCTCATTTCTGACAAGAATTTTCAAAATATATATTGAAGTCAATGATAATGAAACACTCTGCATAGGTTTTGGTAAATTTAAGTTGTTCTGTGAGGTATATATTTATCAAAACTTAAATGTCTTTTTTCTAAAAGAAAATGTCATGTTTTAAAAAATTCTATATGAAAGGTGGTAAAATTAAAGTAAATAAGAATAATTGAAAGGACAATAAATAGAAGCAATGATAATGACAATTCATTTGCTATACATTTAATTCATATTTTTCTTCCAGGTACAGCTTAGTATGCCTCGGAACTTAAATTTTCAAACCAAACTGAAAATTGCTCACATATTGCTGGATGATTTTCAAGTTGAAGGTCTTAATCTAACTCATCAAGCTATACTCTCGCTTCATGCCTACAATTCAAAATCTGGAATAGTTGTTGATATTGGTGACAGACTGGATGTGATTCCAATAATAGAAGGTCTGTATTTCAAACTATAATTAGATTTTGCAACGTCTCTCTTAATACACAAAATTAACCTTATTACAGACTGGCTGATGTGTGGCATTATAAATATGTGTATAGAGAACAACTGGTATCAAATTAAAATGCAAGTTGCATTTAGTTTAAAATTAAATATGTATCTTTTTGTGAATCAAACATAAAATTAATTTTTTTTTCTTTTTTGCATCATATGAATATTTTTTTTTTGTGCTTCAGGTAAATATTTATAATCTGTATTATTTCCCTATAAAATGTAATTTAACTATACACCACTTTCAAAGAATAGTTAGACTGGCATTCACTTGAAATTTTACTTTTTTAAAAATTTAACTCATAATGCAAGCAAATCTATAATTAAATGTGCCTGCAATGAAAGAACTATACTTCCTAAGAACTTTTGGTTGGAGATTTTTCTCCAATATTCAAAGTGGTAGCAAAATATAAATTTAGCATTTTATTTTCAGTTTAATAAATTTTGATTTTAAATGATTTTAACTACCATAATTTATAAATAATACAGAATATGCATAATACCCACTAACCAAATAAACACCTATCTAAAATCTGGTAAATTTTAAAAGTTATATATTTCTTCGCTATTCATTATTCACTGACTCATATTTCACTAACACTTTAAATTTTGTGAGAAACTAGAAGTTCTAAGTTGCCATGTATGAAGAACAGACTTAAATAAGTAAGTTTTTTAACATAATTTTTAATGTGAGTAAAAATTTCATCATTAGCTCTTAAGTTATTCATGAGTTCCATTTTTATCTTTTTTTCACACTATACTATAAGTAACGTTTTGATTAAAAAAATGTTAAATTCAGTTTCCATGACAAAACATCTTCATATTTCTTTTTAATGGTTCCTTGGTAAAATTATTTTGTTTCTTACTGTGCATTTTTTAATCATGATACAAAAAGAAATGAGTGAATAACTGATTGAACATAAACTTTAGAGACAGAGCAGAGACTTAAACTTTAGAGACTTAGCAGCTACAAACAAAATGAAAGGAAAAGGTAAGGAAATTAGAACATATTCGTGCTAAAAAAACATTTGCAAAATTAAAGGGAAGAAAAATGGGGAAACAAACAAAAGGGAGAATAGATCATTAGGGTTTCAGGGTAGTGTAATTAATATTTATGCTGAGAAGATATTGGTGACTGATTAAATGTAGAGCCAAACTGCACATGTAACTTGATGTAAGGAAATAATTGCTATGAAATAAATTTGATGAAAAAATAAAAGTTGAGATAAATTAAAAGGCAAAGATAATAACAAACAGTTGTAAAAGGAAAAAAGAAACTCATGATAATCATGAAATAAAATCCTCTTATTTTATAAAAAGAAAACAGTGATTAGAATCTTAAATGCTCAAAAGTTTTAGTTAATGAACTGTATTCTATTTATCCAGTTTAGAGGGCCTAAGATCATTGAGTTAGTTGTCAATACAAATAATGATTATCTCTACTATTGAAGTATTATTTTTGTATTACGTATAACATTTTTTATAGAAAATTTTAAATTTCTTTGTCTTAGTATTTAATTATTTAGAAATTAATTTATAAAATAGGCAAAAATGTTCTTATTCAGTAGAATTTCCTTTAAAGAAAAATTTTTAGGCTTTTTAAAAATATCATTCAGCTAATAGATTTATTGAATTCAATTAGGTACTGTAGTTAAAATTGTTTAAAGTATGAATGAATTTATTATCTTGGATCACATAACATATACATATATACAGTGGTGGCCAAAAGTGTGGACACTTTTTGAAAGTTTCATGTTTTTCAACTTTTTGTGCTTGTAGAATATAATAATTTTCACTTAAATACAAACGTTTATATATCAAATTGAAGGTAATTTAATGTAGAATTTAATAATAAATACAGTATTACAATATCTGTATTACAAAAAAGGTTATGCAACAAATAGTCAGATCTATCTTAGATTTGCATTTTTTTAAAGTGATACTTACACAATCTATACTTAGTAGGATAACCTTTATTTTTTAAGACAGCTTCACAGCGTCTTTTCATCGAGTGAACGAGTGTTTGGAGTTCATCTTTCGTAATCACATGGTGCCAAGAATCAATTATAGCTTCACTNAATTATTTTAAAGTACAATTAATCTGATGCTGTAAATGTACCCTGATCCTGTAATGTAAGTAAATTTTCTTTAAATATAATATATTTTTCAATGAAATGATGAAATTTAAAAATTGCTTTGTTTTGATATATTTAAATGTTTACTAAACTTTATATTTTTGATAATTTATGACTTCGAAAGTTCGAGGTAGGATCGATCCCATCGATCTCGTATTAAAGAGACTCTATTGTACTGTTTTCTCAGTGAGACAATGAGAATAGGGATTTTACTAAAAAGAGACTTTTTAAGGACATAAGGTTAGTATTCTGGAAATTCTCTCCAAACAAATAGTAAATACTCTCAATAACAATAACAATTCAATAACAGTAACTACTCAATAACAATAACAGTATAATAACTCAATAACATTAACAGTATTCAATAACAAATAATATATACTCTCCAAAACAAATAATAAAAGGGAGATAACATATAAAACACATACAATAGAATGGAATTTTACAATAGTGTTTATAAGCCTATTCTTATAGTTTTTATAAATATGGGCTGAAAATTATTCAATAATCAAATAAGAAAGTTTAACTTTAGGTAACTTGATTTTACTAAAATACCTAATGTTCATTTCAGTTAAAGCATGTTTTAGATGATGTAACATCCTTTGGCCTCCATAAGGAAGTCTTGTAACTCCACTTTCAACAATATAGCCTATAAATTATCAAAAAAAATCATTTAATGCAAGTTTGTATATATATATATATATACAGTCAGACCTCGATATAAGGTCATCCGCATATAAGGTCACTTTTCCAAAGTCCTGGCTCTCTGAATAAGAATTTTTTGTTACAGATTATCGGATATATGGTCAAGTTTTAAAAATCGTTATCGCTTATAAGGTCATTTTTATCTGAAGAGAAGGAAGCTCTTTTCTAACAAAAGCTTATTTAACTTCCTTACAAGGCAATTACCCCTCTCGAGTTCTAGGAAAATGTTGCAGCCAGCGAACAAGCTGCAATTTCTGAAATAGTTTCACAAGTTGTAGACAGTGAGGACAAGACAGTGATCCTGAGACTGTAGCTGTAACCCAAGTGGAAGCCTTCAATGCAATAAATGTCATATGAAATTTTTTTACAAACCATGAGGGAGCTAAGGAACATTTTGAGAAATTACAAAATCTAGAAAACATTGTTCAAAAATGGAACCAAAAACGAGACAGACCTGCATAAATGATTATTTTAAATAAGGTAAGATGTAATGTATGTATGTACACTTTGAGGAAATTTGTAAACAGCTTTATTTTAAATTGAAAATTTTTTTAAAGATCTAACTTTCGTTAGTTCTTTACTAATTCTGTTAAAATTTATTGACTTAAATATTTAATTTATGGCCGATAGTTTTCGTCTGTATTACCATTTTTAAAAATTCATAATGTGTACTATTTACGTGCTTGGTTACAAACTGCTAATGAATCGGTTAAAAGGTCACCACGCTTATAAGGTCACTTTTGCGACGTCCCTTAGGGTGACCTTATATCGAGGTCTGACTGTATATATATATATATATACAAACTTGCATTAAATGATTTTTTTTGATAATTTATAGGCTATATTGTTGAAAGTGGAGTTACAAGACTTCCTTATGGAGGCCAAAGGATGTTACATCATCTAAAACATGCTTTAACTGAAATGAACATTAGGTATTTTAGTAAAATCAAGTTACCTAAAGTTAAACTTTCTTATTTGATTATTGAATAATTTTCAGCCCATATTTATAAAAACTATAAGAATAGGCTTATAAACACTATTGTAAAATTCCATTCTATTGTATGTGTTTTATATGTTATCTCCCTTTTATTATTTGTTTTGGAGAGTATATATTATTTGTTATTGAATACTGTTAATGTTATTGAGTTATTATACTGTTATTGTTATTGAGTAGTTACTGTTATTGAATTGTTATTGTTATTGAGAGTATTTACTATTTGTTTGGAGAGAATTTCCAGAATACTAACCTTATGTCCTTAAAAAGTCTCTTTTTAGTAAAATCCCTATTCTCATTGTCTCACTGAGAAAACAGTACAATAGAGTCTCTTTAATACGAGATCGATGGGATCGATCCTACCTCGAACTTTCGAAGTCATAAATTATCAAAAATATAAAGTTTAGTAAACATTTAAATATATCAAAACAAAGCAATTTTTAAATTTCATCATTTCATTGAAAAATATATTATGTTTAAAGAAAATTTACTTACATTACAGGATCAGGGTACATTTACAGCATCAGATTAATTGTACTTTAAAATAATTATCTAATGTTTTTTGTTTAAACACATTGCTACTTTTTTGAGGGGCAATATCGCACCATCATTGAAGTAGCATATCATTGGCTGGAGTTGCCTCCATGCATTGCATTGCAGATTCTAGAGAAGAGAAACTCTCACTGTGACTTATTCGCTGAATCAAATCTGCCAGGAAGTGAAAGGAAAAAATAGTAAAATATTCATCAAGATAGTTGCGTAGTTGCAATAATAGTGAGCACAGTACTCAATATAAAAATCTAACTATCTAATAAATAGTACTAAATATCTAAAAATAACACAAAATCAGGGCCTAATTTGATCTAATTTAGGAAAATGATTTATTTACTATGTTTATTAAATCTACTGCAAAACAATTAAAATCACACATACATAAATAGTTAAATTTTTAATAACCTTTTAAAAATTTTTATGTTCTATATATGTGAGAAATGTTATACAAGAAAGAATGTGTCACCTTTCTATTTATATGCATATAAAACATAAATTAACTTTGCATACAGAAAATAATATCTTTTAGAGAAAAACACGTTTCCTGTTTTCATTTCTAAAGAATGAATAAACAATAATAGAAATGTTAAATCTTTGATTGAAAAAAGAGCAAACTATAGCAAGTAATCTTGACTTAAGTAAATACAACGAATAATTAATAAGCTTATCACAAACAAAACAACACAGCAATTAGGTATTAAATACCATATATAATAAAATGTACAAACAATAAACTCATCTTGTATGATTGGAGGGGACAGATTTTTCTACATGGGTACTCGATTTTATTTAAAGAATTGTAAAGAAAGGGTATTAGAATATAATAAGGTAAAAAATTTTACCTTCTTAATTGCTAAGACATTTAAATTGTTCACCAATAATGAGCACATCTATAACAATCACATTATGCATGCATTGGTTTAAATCTTTTTCTGATATCTGATGAATATTAGAAAGATATAGATGTTTGATATTATTTTGTGTTATTGGAATGGGTATTCTGCTAATAGTTTTGAAATGTGTTCTGACATAAATGTTTCATATCATTTTGTGATATTAGAATGAAATTTTGCTAATATTTCTGAAATCTGTCCAGTAATTTTAACTAAGATTTTATTTATTTTATAATGTAATGATGAAAATAATTAAACATTAATATATGTTGTTGTTGTAGTTCATTTACGTCGCACTAGAGATGCACAATGGGCTATTGGCGACAGTCTGGGAAACATCCCTGAGGATGATCGGAAGACATGCCATCACAATTTTGATCCTCTGCAGAGGGGATGGCACCCCCGCTTCGGTAGCCCAACGACCTGCACGCGAAGTCGAGCACTTTACGGTAGCACAGTTTAACGAGGACCAATACCGCACACCCTCGGTCCCTACGCAGACTGATCCAAGTGGTCACTCACCCATACACTGACCGCAGCCAGTGATGCTTGACTTCGGCGATCTGCTGGGAACCGTGTCTTAACGATCAGTCCACTGCGGGTCAAACATTAATATATAAAACTATATTTTTGTAACTATCTAGAAGGAAATAAGTCACGCTTTATTTCTTGAATATTTTAAATATCTATCTGATATCATTAAGATATTTTACGAATGTTTTGTATTACTTGTGTTACCTAACTTTGTAAACATTGTAATTTTAATAAATTTTGACTTTTATTTCAGTTTGGTAAGTGATGCGGAAACATATTTAGCCCGTTACACACTAGAACATTTGTGTTATGTAGCAGAAGACTATACTGAAGAATTACAGAAGTATTATTCTCAAAAAGAGGATTTCTGTATGTCTGTTCCTACTGCACAGTTTTTCCAGGAACAATGTCCATTTCAGTAAGTTCCCAGTTTTTCATCACTTTAAATACATTTTAAGAATAGTTTCAATGCAATGGCTAGAACTAATAATCATCATTTTCTAGTTATTTCTCTTTTTATTTGCAATCCTAAAGCTTCAATATGTCACCTTGCAATAATTCAAGCCTTTAAATAAGCAGGCAAAACTTAGGCTTCGGACAGAGTATGATTTTTTTTACAACAGTTAACTCTGAATATAACGACCTTTGTCATTTAAATGAAAACGAAAATCGTTATATCGTGAGAGCACAAAAATATCATAAATAATCACTCATAACTAAAAAAATACCAGATGAATTTAAACAAAACAATGATGTACTTTAGTAAGAATTGGGAAACTGACAGAATAATAAAGCAACTTGCTTTATGTTAATACATATGTTAAATTACTATTTAAAATGATATGTTATAAGCAAAAAATTTCTTAAATTATTCTACTGATTCTGAGCAACCTTTTTTGATAAATTATGTGTCTAGATAATTGTACTGTCAAAACAAAATCTATTCCAGCACATGAAATATCAATACATCAAAATACTAAAACATAAACAACACAATGGAACTAATATTTCATAAAAAGAGTGAATGAAGTTTTCAAGCAAGAAACATATGATGGACAAATTCATAGTATCCCTTAAAAGGAGATTTACACTGATAGTGAATGCAACCTTTTAACCTAATGAATGCATAGGGGACTGTGTATGTCGATTTCCACTTGACGGCTTGACAATGCCCCATATACTTTTGATTATAAATGTTTTTTTTTTAATGGTGGGCACTTGGGGGTTGTCCTATTGGCCACAGAACTGCTACTCTCTTCTCGTTACCCAGTGGGCACTTGTGGCGAAGCCATGGCGGTGGAGCAACGTCGCCCACGTCACACAACCACAAACCCATTTATTGGGAGGGTCACATTCCCACAATCAGACACAAAGGAGAAAGGACATAGAACACAGAGAGAAAGAAACTCCCATGCCCTGAGCAGGATTTGAACCCGCGCCAGCGGCTCCGTAGTCAGCCACGTTAACCACTCGGCCACCAGGTCGGCTGATTATAAATGTAAATTAATGCATATTTCATTAACTTTTTTTCAATTAATTACAACCTCCTAGAATAAGAATATAAGGAGATGTGTCACTTTTCCCTCTTTTAAAGAGGATTCTAGATGTTTCACATTTAATATGTAGTAACATCAAAAGAAATAAAGAATAAAATAATTCCTTTGTTACTTTTGCTTAATCAAATGACTCATTGTCTACAAAAGTATTTTTTTAAAGGGTAATAATGTTTAATACTTATTATCAAAGTCGTTTTCATGGGAATAAAAAAATAAACTAAATTTCAATTACTACATTGGTATGAATAGTTCAGTGTGGATGTATGAATAGTTCAGTGTGGATGTAAAAAAAATTAAAGCAGTTCTTAAATATTAAGCTTTTATCTTGATTCTATGCTGATACATATTGTTAAAATGGCATTGCATCTATGGAATAGCAAAGGGAACTTCATATATCAGTCCTTTTAATAAAAGAGTCACTGTAATGGGGGTTATCCTAAGGAGTATAAGCGTACTTCGCTATGAGTGGCATATGAAGTCTTATTGATATCATATTGGCATTTAATAATCAAAATTGTTGTGTTCTACAGTGTCATACTTGAGACAATTAAAAATTTCCTTTTTCAAATTAAGAGAAGATCATCTTTGATGAAATATCCTCAAAACTTTCATAATCCCTTACAGAAAAATTGAAATTAAAAGTCAATAAAAACAAATAAAAAAAATTTCAGATATATCTTACTTTTTTAATCTGAATAGCAGGTACTGGATCAAACTATGACCACTAGAAATGGAAAAAAATGACAGCAACTCAGAAAGTATGGTTTAGTTTTTAAAGTATTTTGACAAAATAGGGTGTTTTTTCTCTTTTCCGACCTATTATATTTTTAAGGTTTCTTTCTAAAATGAAAAACAAATAAAATCTAAATACATAATAATGCTTTAAAATTTTTTCCCCTCATTTTGAAGCGTTAAATGATTAATTTAATATTTTAGAAGCTAGACATTGTTTACTACTTAATAAACTCTACAAACAAATTTGATTCACAAGTATGAAAAAGCTGTCCACATATCTCCTTCAATATGAAAAAAAAGGCAATCCTCTCAATATAACCCAATCATAGGAAATTAGACTGACTAAGTTTTACTTTGATATTGGAACAATAAATAAAGTTTGTTTCTGTATCACAAGAGTCTATGAAAATCAGCTGTGTGCATAAAAAATCAAAAGTTTATGCTTTAACTTTTTTAAAAATGAATAATATTATTAAACTGAAACTTTTATCAGATATCAACAGTTCAGTGATAAAGTAAGTTACATATTTTTATTCTTGCCACGAATGAAAATTCACCAATTTAAGGCTTGCTTAAGTTATGGTAGTGAAATAAATGGGGGAATTTGCTTTTTTTCTGATTCAAAAGTAACACCTTGATTATTTGATTACAGCTTTGTTTGGGAGAAAAATATCTCTTACTATATGAGTTAACTTTGATAATGAGTAAAACAAAAGCACTGAAAAACTATGCTGCTCATTTTAAATTCAATTATGAAAGATAAAATAGTTTACAACTAGTGTTTTATTCCTTTTTTGAAATTGCCACAATTATTTTATTTTAAAAATTACATTTGAAATTTTGTAATAGTGCATAATATTTTTTACTTTTAATGGTTACATAGTTTAGGATATTGTTCACTGAGTAAATTATAAAATTACAGCAAAATATGTTCTCGAAGAAATATTTATTTTTTATTACGAGCATTTTTTTTTTCAATAACATCATCACCTTTATATAAAAAGAAAGACTTATTATTTAATACTGCTATATTTATCGTTATTTTTATAATTATATTTTGTATGTGACTGACTCTGTGATCATTAGTTATAAAATTAGTTCAAACTTTAACATCTTGCAATTAATTTTCTAATAAAAGAAGCAACAATAAAAATAATATGACAAGAATTTTTTTCCAGAGAAATGTTTCTTGATATAGGAAGATTTCATGTACCAGAAGGCTTGTTTACACCAGAAATTTGGGGTCTTGACAATTTTGGTCTGCATAAACTTGTATATCATGCCATCCATGAGTGTGGAGTTGACTTACGGAAAGAAATGACCAAGAATATATACATAAGTGGTGGACTTACTTTATTACCAGGGTTTGTGGAGCGATTAGAAAGAGAAATCGATAAAATAACACCAAAAACCATCACTCCAAAAGTAAGACATAATATAAAAATCTATTTTAACATTTTTAGCATATTACTTTGAAAATAAGGTTTAATTTACAGCTTTTGGGATTCAATACATAGAGGAGGTAGGAGACTTTTATGTAAACATGAAAAAATATTTGGTGTATTAATTAAAAGTATACAGTTAATTTTCATTATGATTCTGATTAATTACTTCTCACAATAATAATAAAATATAAATGCATGTTAAAATTAGAATTATTTTACAAGCTTCAAAATTTCCTTTCACTTCTACAAAAAAAATGAACATTTGAAACTTGTATGAAATTCAAAAGTAGAAACATTAAAACATTTCTGTGTTAAGTTTCGATGAATGGGATTATCTATATCATACAAAAGATCAGGAATAGTTTTGGAAGTATCACTGGGGTGAAAAACAGGGCTTTCAGAAATTTGTATGTGTTACATGCTATAAAACTTTGTATTGGTCTATTCAACTCTTTCAAAATTTTAAATTTCAGAAATATTTTTAATACATTATTTTACACACAATGAGCTCTTAAAAATGCAAAAACAGATTTTTTTTTAAAAAAAGTAAAAGTGTCCCCTCTTAATAATTCTGAGATAAGAATATATTTAAATTTAACATGTAAATAGTTTCATTCCTTGAAAGTATTATGATATTATGAGTAAAGTATTATGATAGAAAGTATTATAATGCAAGTAAGGGTCTATAGAGTGTTGGAAAGATAATCGCTTCATTTATAATTGAGAAAAGGTAGATATAGGTGTATAATTATCTCCGATACCAAGTGAAAATGTATAACAAGCCGAAAGTTATTATTTCTTTTTGGAGTTTATAATATATCTATAATGTACAAAAAACTCATTTATAATGAAGGGCCTCAATTTTTAACCATTCTCCTGACTATACTATTGGAACCATATTTTCCAGATTATGGCTACTACCCCATAAGTTGATTCATAGACTAAAAACCAAATACATTGACAAAGGTATGTTCATACTAAGAAAGTATATCTTCATATCTGATTAATGAAACTTAATTGATAGATCTCATTAGCATACTTGAGGTCCATCTTGTGACCATACAGATTTTTATTATATCAATATCTGATGGTTAGAGCAAAAGTTATTTAGGGCGATACCATTTTTTCCACTTGGCTTGTTGTAAATAAAATGTTAGAATTTGTCTCAATAACATTGGCTATGGCTAAAAAAATATTAATAACCATTTCAGAATTAAATTTTATTAAAACTCTTCTGATTAAACTATAGTTTCCATCTTTAGAGAGCGTTAGATTCATATGGGTTGTGAAATATTGTACCGCAAATAGCTCCTTTAATATGTATTTCTAGAACACTTATCAAAAATGAAAATAAGAAATAATACACATTGGGGGTGACAAAATAATATTTAAAAAGAGGACAAAACAGAAACTCTACTGAAATCTAACAGATCACAGTACAGGAAGGCAAACTTAATGACAGTTTTAATTGCAGGTGAAATCAAATAGGAGTTAAAAGATTATTATTAAAAATATGTTTCAGTTTTAATCTTCAATTAAATCTGTTTCTCTACAGTAATTTGTCAGATTTCGTTTGGGTTTTTGTTTCCCCCCCCCCTCAAATATTAATTTGGGACCCACAATGTGCATCTTTTTCTATTTTCCTTTTCAATAAAGATTTTAAAAAATACATATAAAGGACGGTTTTTAGGGAACACTCAAATTTAAAGATAACAAGAGTGTGTTCATTTGATCATTAAAATTTAGTTAATAAAATAAACTAACCACCTACATCCACCAGCTATTCCACCTACACAAAATCATGGCTTTGCAGCTCCCCATTGTCCCCAGCTTTCACAAATTTAGCTTTTCATGCCTCTATTTATACTGCATAAACACTTTGGTGGAATTCTTTATCTTAAACTCTTTTGAAATGGTTTTATGCCATCTATGAATTGCTGTACAATTACAATTTTTAAAAATTTATTCTAATCAAAAATTGGGCCATGTGGTTATTCTTTATTGAGTCAGAATCTTCAATTCCCGTTAAATTTTGCACCTAAAGTGCCACTTTCATGGGTGCTACTGGCAGGCAGGAGGAACAGTAGGTATACCCCTAATTAGAAATCTCTGTAAGTCTCCCTCAACATTTCAGAGAAATAAAGAAATTTTTCATTAATCATCAGCAATTTAAGAGGGGTTTTCTTTTTTTTAAAAAAAATCAGGCGAATCAGGCAATGTTGGATACTTGACATTTTTGATTTTGTTGAAATTTTCTGGGAATGTTTTTATGTAAAAATATTATAGTCATGCTTCTTTACTTTTGCAAAAAAGTTCCAAAGGTCAAGATCCTCTAGAATTTTGTAAAAGACACATACCGTATATTCCAGCGTATAACGCGCACTTTTAATACAAAAAATAACATTGGAATTTACGGGTGTGCGGTATACGCCGAATCTAAAAAATTATATATTAAAAGAATTTAAATATCGAAAAATACTTTTATTTTAAAGAAATAACATACATTTACCTATATACTTTATCGATTTTCGTTATTACATAAATAGTTCATTATATTCGTCTTCCGTTACTTCTTCAGGCACGTCATCACAATCTGTTTCGTCTTCATCATCTGTGTTACCCTCATCCATAAATAAACAGTCATCTTCTGATCCGTCCAGATTATTTGAAATGCTGCATTTTTTGAATGATTTTCTAACCATCTCAGGCTTAATTTCATCCCATACTTTTAATGTCCATTCGCACACTGTTTCCAAACTTGCATGACGCATATGTCCTCCTTTCGTAAAGGTTTTCTCGCCCTCCAATATCCAAGTGCTCCACTGTTTTTTTTAAATTGGCTTTAAATGGTTTGTTTAAGCAGACGTCCAATGGCTGAACTAATGGTGTCAATCCGCCCGGAATAACTTCCATATCGATGTTACATTCTTTCAACAATTTTTTTGTATTATCTGTAAGGTGAGACCTAAACATGTCCCACACTAAAAGGCTTTCTGGTTTTCTATTGATACTAGACGAGATATTGCACATGTACAATCCTAATTTTCGTGCGCGATATACGAGAGTATATCTTAAAATTTAAAAAAAGTTATTAGAAATTACGGGTGCGCGTTATCCGCCGGAATATACGGTATATGCATACATGCAACAATACTTATAACCATGATAATGATTATAATAAATTAATAAACCATGATACTGACCTTTATTTTGTATTCTACTACTTCCCCACTAACTATCAAAACATAAATACTTTCAGTGGATCTTTGCATCAAAGGTCATTTCAAAATATGGCTATTTTCTTAGACTTGTTAATTACAGAGTTAACTCAGGGGATGTTAACTTCAGATATTATGTTTAGCCTAAATTACATTTTTAAAACAATCTACAGCTTTCCCATAACTATTTCTGTGTTCAATTACTCAGGCATGGGCCTTAAAGTTAGTGATTTTATCAATAAATGCTGAATCAGTAAACATAGATCTATGAATTGATTCTGTTTCTGCTAGACATAAGACTCCTTGTCTAGTTTTGGCAAAGGCTGTTAATGATCCTGAAAGTTTTAAAAAAATCTTACTACCTTAAGGTCAAGCTACCACACAACAAATATAAATTGATTATAGAAATATACATCTTTTTGTGGTTTACTGTTGGCACAAGTAGATTTTTTTGATAGGTGAAGTCTAAGAAAATAGCCTTATTTCAAAGATTACTGATTGACCTTGACCTTCCATGCAAAGTTTTTATGTCTCATTAGTAAGTATGGAAGTTGTAGAACATAAAATAATGGTCAGTGCTGTGGTTCATTCATTTCACAAAATAATATTGCTGTATGGAAATGTTTTTCCATACAGCAATATGTTTGGGTGGGTGATAGGTTTTTCTTAAAATTCCAGAGGATCTTCAACTTTGATCCCCAGAAACCTTAAACAAAATATTTTTTGCAAAAATTAACAAAAAAAAAACATATGTCATAGTTTAACATAAAGAAGATTTCAACTAAATGAAAAATGCCAAGTATCCAACCCTGCCAAACTCTTAAAATAACTGGCTCTTAAATTTATTAAATTGAAGAAAGAGATAAAAGTAATTAATCTTTTTGCAGATTTAAGAAGTTCTTTTTTTGTCATGTGAGAACTATAGTGACTGTGTATTTTGATTTCGTCCCCCTAACAAATTGGACGCTGGTGATGTGACGCTCATGGCCACCATTACACTACACATATTTTATTGTGTATATAAATGATTTAGCTTACGTTATATGTGTCCAACAATAAATGGTAATTGCTGCTAAGCAAATGGAAATCTGATTATTATTTCAAAAGTTATTGCTAATAAATTTACTTTATTCTCTTTTTGAACTAATTTAATAAAATATTTGTATGCTAATTAAATACATTCTCCTTGATATTGATTGTGTCAAAGCAATTCACTAGTTAAAAAAAAAAAAGAAAGGCTAAAACAATGATGACTCGATTCTTTGGAATCAAGTTTTAGAGTGATGAACGTAAGGCAATCTTCAACAGGCCTTGGCTGTCCCTCAGATGGGCTGTTTTGCCAAACATGAAAATGGTGCACAAATTAATGTTAAACCTTGCTTTTCATGCTTAATTTAATTTACTCAACATATGAGTTTGTGTGCTAATAGCCTTGTTTTTTTTTCTTGTTTTGTTTTGACAACAGGTTCATGCCTCACCATACAGATACCATATGTCATATATAGGTGCTTGCCAAATAGCATTAGAACAGAAATTTGAAAATCTTTGCCTCACAAAGAAGATATGGAAAAAAGAAGGAAATTCCTGCGTTAAAATGTGGCATACTTAATGTGAGAAAACTAACTGCACACATACCAGTATATTCAAAGTTATTGTGAGAATGAATTTATGAGCTTGTCTTTGATAAAAATAATAAACAAAATATTTTGATATGCCTTATATAGTTTTATCAATACAATTTTGAGTTTTCATCTGAGAACTAAAACTACTTAGAGTATATTTGGAAATCTTTTTCACACTAAAAAGAAAGAAAAAAACTTTTTTATCAATCTGATGTTGTTAAGTTTTCAGCCACAGATCGAATATGTAATTAAAGCGCTCCTTTTTTTTAAATGCATTGTAATAGTTTTATGAGCATAGAAAAGAAACACAGCCAAAACTAATTTTTTTTCATCTGTTTCACAATACAGAACAATGGAATCATCTAAATAATTAATTACAAACTAATAAATACATTAGCTTACTTATTAGGAAAGTAATTTGCATAAAGCTAATGAAGATGTGCATAGGGAAAATTTAATCTGATCTAAAAGACTAAATCAAAGAATAAAAGCATTTTTTTTAAAAATAAGTAAATATTTTTCTTGTGATTGAAGTTAACAAAACTCAATTGAATGTGACATTCAGTCAAAGGGTGAACTAAATTAAAGCTAAACAACAACAAAAAAGCAGAAATAATACCACAAGAAAACATACTATAGTTTCAGATCTGTAACAAAGAACTTCTATCCATATCCGAACAGAATGAAAGAGGAAAAGCCCAGAGATGTATAAAAAAGTGCAAAATAAGTTATGAAGGGTAAAAATGGGTTGATCAACATGAGTGGGAACGATCTTGAACAAGATAATCAAACAAGTAGATGAACAGATCAAAAACAGGTAGGATCAAGTACTCTAAAACATTAAAAAATGAAGAGGCAAAGCTCTTTCATCACTGCTTGAATATTAGGTCTTTTTTAAAGTTTATGTTTGAATTATGGTTAAATAACAATTATAAAATAAGAAAATAAATGTTAAAACACAAATAAAAACACCATAGTAGAAAATTTTAAATGCAAATAACAATAAAGTTGCCAGCAATTATGTAAATTAATCCTAAGCACTATAACATACTCTTATATGTATATAGTCGAGTATCATTAACATTAACTCAAAGGAGTGCAGAAGATTTGTTCCTGTTAAAAAAATGTAGTTCATCTTAAAAGTTAAAAAAAAAATTTCATAAAAATCGTTTATTACATAAACATTTTATATTTACTATGTGTAAAAATTAGTAATATGTATACATTAATAATTTATACGCATGGTAAATATATATATGTCAAAGTTATTTTTCTCTTATTAAATTATTTATAATTTTCTAAACCTCATAATAAATACAATTAATTACTTTAAAAGATTGTTAACTTATAACGAAACAAAAAATATATTACTGTATATAAAGTTCAAAAAGTGTTTTCCTTCTTTTTTACAAAAAGATGCTATCTACTTGACCACAGTCTTCATTAATTAAATTCAAAGAAAGAAGATTTTTAGTCTCTGAATCACAAGCGAATCCACAAATTTTATTTTGCACCATTAAACAAGATTTATTAAGAATGACACCACCATTGTGGGGGATTATAACCAATAAAAGTATGTTTTCTTTTTTCTTTCCTAATACACATATTTTGGTGCACAGATGATTATTGTAAGGTATTATCATTTGTTAATAATTTTGTCTTGTGCTACAAAATGAAATTTGTGGTAAACCTCATATCATTTAGACTATATTTAAAAAGTACAAAAACTATTAAAAAATTGCTAGAAACTTTTTAAATTTTAAAGATATTCAAATGGCACTTTTTCATTAGTTATCAAATACGATTCCCTACAAAATCATGAAACAAATTTTCCACACAAGTACAGAATAACAGAACTACATTAAAAGTTCTTATCTTTATCAATTTTTAGTGACTTTTTTTTAAATAATAATTTTGTAATTAAATTAAAAATTGCTCTGAAAATTTTGTTTAATTTCATCGAATATTTTTAAAGCTATAGATTTTAAAAAAACATGGCAAAAAGATTAGCTTTTATAAAAATGCCCATATCACTATAAATATTTAAGCTAGGTTAATGAAATTTCATGCAAATATTGCAGGTATCTCAAACCTCTGAAAGTTTTAAATTTTATTAATAAGCATGAAAAATCATATGACATAAATTCCTCTAAATTTACGAAGCATTTCTTGAGAATGTCAAAAACAGAAACTTTCTCTTTCATTATTGAAGGGTAGTGTATATACATATGTTCAAAAAATTTGATAACTCACTAAAGACGTTTGAAAAGAGTTTGTTTACTATTAATAATAATTGAAGTAAAATTTTTTTTTTTAAATTGCCAAGTGATTTGCTTATTTTAAACAAGAAGTAATGTTTATTTCACTTGCTTTAATGTTTACCGATCATGCTTACGCAAAAAATGTAACAGAGTTTGAAAATATCTGAGGCCTACTTTGTGGATATAATTGGGAATTTTCGAATTATTGCATTCAAATTTTTTAAGATATAATCACAAATACTATGTGATAAATGATAAACAATGACTACAGGTTGGCAAGCTTGAAAATGAATCAATACAGAGAGACTAAATAGTAAATAGATTTTTTAAATTGCGTCCTATTTTGATCAAAAACTTTAAAATCGAACCTTTTCACACGTAAAAGAAAGAAAAAATTAGAAAAATCCATTTAAATATCTAGAATATCTTAAATATCGTGAACTAGTGTATCAATAATAACTAAGCAAACTAACTTGGTTTTACGTGAATTGCAATTAAAACTATGATTTTCCCTGAAAAGTGACTTTAGAGTGGTAGAAAACTTTAAATATTATGCTATCAAGATGATTAAAATTATAAAAAATGTTAAATTAGTAGTTTTTCTTAAAAGTTGTCAAGAATAACAAGCACTGTCAAAACTGTGTTTTTTTGGGATTTTTTTTTTTTTTCTTCTTCTTTGTGAGCACTTTCAACATTTTTATACCCCTTAACATATTCTATTATCTTATTTAACAGAAGAAATTAAAGTTAAGAAAAATAGTTACTTAGAATGAACCTGAATTTAATAATTTTTATTATTTTTTGAAAAAATATTCATTACGATAGTGTTTAATTTGAAGTTGACTATGAAGTTATGAAACAAACTTTTATTTTATATATATTTCACGGTAAATAAAATTATATAAATAATTAATAAATTATATATTATAACAGTAAAGTTTTAAATAATTTATCAATTAACAGTAATCTCTTAGTGGGTTATTCTTTTGATAAGTAAAAAAAAAATTAACAAAAATGAAAAAATATCTGAATTCAACATAATTCTTTAAAAAATAACAAGTTGAAAAAACGTTTGTTGTACATTATTGTATCACAATACAACAAGGGTAATTACTGAAATTCCGAACAATTTTAGAACTGCTTAGTTCCTAATAAATTTGTTAAATAGTATGAAAAGAAAGAAGTTCCTTTTCCTAAACTTAAATAACTATCTATATTTTAATCAATTTTTTAAAAAATATATTTAATGTTATTCGAATAAATATTTAATTTCAAATTCTGAATGAATGGCCCAAATTGTATTAGTTGTTTAACTTACATAATTACTGATGAGGTGCACTTTTTCCAATGCCTTTTTTTTCACAGGCTTTTAATTTCAGCATTTAATTTTTTGTGCTTTTTTCTCCAATCTATCATTGTTTTGTTTCACCTTGTAGAATATATACTATAAATTTCAAAATCATTAGGAAATGAGTTCCTTTTATAATATCACCCAAAAGATTCCTTTAGGATGATATAATTAAAAATCTACTGGATTTAGAATTCTTTCCTTTTTTATACAGCTAAATATAGGATTGAGGAATTGGTCGACACAATATGGAAAGGTTTATAAAATGCTGTCCTTATGATAAACATTTTGTTCAGTTGAAACATGTTTGAATCTTTTAACATGAAAAAATAATTTTCCTCGGACAAAGGGATTCTAAGCAGGAAGTGACGCAGACCTGCTAACTGAAGGTAGTAGCAAAAGAGAAAAGTTTATTGCTTTTCTGATTCTTGTTTCACCCCTATCATTTCTAAAAAAAGGCCAAAACCACACAATTCTCAAAGCCATCTATTTTATGAATCATGCTCTAAAAGTGACCAACTCTTATTCTTAAGATTAAACTTTTTCGAACTATATTACCATGTTTAGTACGTAAGTTTTATTATAATATGTAACAAAAAATTTTATGAAATGCAAAGCCTCGGGTAACGAAGTTTGCCTTATCAAGAATCTACTATATATATATATATATATATAGAACAAAATAAATAAATACAAGAAAACACGAAGGAAGTTAAGAAAA